TGGGTGCGCTGTCCCGCGGGGAGCCCGCTGTGCCCAGGTCTGTGCGTGACACGGGCTGGGGCCGCGGGCGGCTCTGCCGAGGTGCCCCGCGGTGCTGTGGGGCGGGGGGGCTGCCTCTGCAGGTCCGTCCTCACGAAGGACCCCGCTGTGACATCCAGACGGCGCTGGTTCTGGCGCTTTAGAGCCCCCGTCCTTGGCACGAGCTGCGTGGCGGCCCGCGCAGGTCGTGCTGCTGTCCCTGATCTCCTACAGTTTGAAAAGGCAAAAGTTGCCATTTCCTGACTTGATTTACTGCACACCCAGTGTGGCGCTATGTAGGAAGGGCAACAATAACTAGGTGAGGGTCTGACTGATACCCAAGGCACGGAAAAAAACAAGCTAAATTTTTGGTTTCTATGACCTTCTGTGAGGCGATGCCACGAATTAACAGCTAACAAGCCCACTTATAAGTCTTTCGGGTAGCTTCAGTGATGCAGACTCTCTGAATTCAGCTAAAAAGCTATGGGAGTCAACTTTTTATGTAGTCATGACCAACCGCCTTGCTTGTTCAGATTAATTTAGCATTTGTTATGATATGAATTTCGTGTATCGGAAAGTTAGGCTCTTTGTAATTCTGAGGTGACTTTAAAGACTTGCTCACTGATACTGGTTCTTAAATGTTCTTAAAATGTTGCCTGTTAAAACTGTAATGCTGCTAATGGGTTAAGAATGGTGCTCATAAATGCCTTTGTAAGGTTTTTTTGAGCCAGAACCGCAAAGGTAAGCTAATGTATTATTGTTACTGGTTTTGCAATGAATTCTCATGCTTGGAAGTTCTGCTTTTACTGATGAACAATGAAAATAAAAATGTCAAGTTTTCTTATTTTTGCAATGTAACCAAAAAGCTGCTGGAACAAATGTTATGGGATTGGTGCAAGTGTTGATGTAAATCCATGCGAAAGAGCAACATTTTTTTAAAGCAATTGAGCTTGAGACGCTGTGAAGAGCAATTGTTTTGTTTTCATCGGATTAATCTCAGTTGTTCTTCAATAGCCTCACTAAATATCGGTGTGTATTTTAATTAAGTATAATGCTCAATACAAAAGCATTACGGTTGCCAATGATTCAGTGTTTTCCTTTTGTTGCAATTTATAGATTAAGTCCTATGTCCTATTCAGTCCTATTCAGTCTCTAACCTCTGAAAACTTTCTAGCTAAACCTTGCTCTTGCCCCCTGTACAGTTGTGTTTTTTTTAATAGAGTTTCAGCATGTTTGAGCTAGTAAATTTTCCTGCTACCTTTCCTTTTTCTTCTGCATCAATTAGGTTCTACTTATCTTACAGATTGGTAGATAAATGCAATTGTTTTACTTTGCTTCCAGAACTTGATATCTGAGCTTATCAAAAACCTTTTCAAGCAACATATTCACTATGCTCTGCTAAAATATGAAATTGGAAACTCAAAATGAATGCATAAGTATTGCTAATATGCCTTATACTAAGGGGGTGAATGTGTGATCAAATGTCACCACAGCATACCAGGTTGTTGCTTGCTTAGTGGTGCATGGTGATGATGTGCACCTATGCTCCAGTCTGGATGATTTGTGCCTGTAATCTCACAGTTGTGAGATGCCATACCTGCACTTGACTGGTTGACTGTTATATAATTACATAGCAGAATGTATTAACTTTTCAGCCTCCTAGTGCTCTAAAATTCACAAAAGCAAAGCTGTAACTTCTTCCTGTGAAGAAGTTTTTAGTCATCATTTGTTGTCCCAAGTCAGTCTTGCACCAAATTGTCTAGTGGCTTGTCTAGAATTTAACACTTCAGCCTCAGTGCTATGTTGAAGAAGAAATGTTAGCCACAAGAGTCAGGAAACTCAAGAAGCCATATGCTTGTAGTATTTTTTTTTAATTACAGAGAGACAGCATCTGAAGCCCTTCTACTGTCAAAATATTTTAAAGATAACAAAGGTTGTAGAAGTTCTATTTTTAAGTTGACCATTCAGGTTAACTATACAGGTAGAATAGATGTTTAGTGCAATAGCACAACCAAATGAGTTATAAAAAAAGTTCATGCGTTTAGTTTTCAGCTCATGGTCTGTTAGTACTTCTGGTGCTTTAGAGTGTTGTGTGATCAATGTGAGACATAGGCTTCATTGCTTGTGTAAATTAAAAATAAAGGAAATTTTAAAAGTTCATTAGTTTGATTCACTATTCCATTAATTTTTTAAAATATTTTCCTTTTTTGAAGGCTCTTATTTATACAACTGTTTGGTAAATTTAATCTTCCACGTCCCTGCAATTGAAAATTTTCCAATGCGAGTTAGCTGTGTGCATCTAAATGATCTTAAAAGTGTTTGTAGACTTGTTAAAAATAAATATGTAAAAACTAAAACCTATAGAGTTGTCCCACAGTTGGTGAAGGGAGAAACAACATCTGAAAACTGCCAAATTGTGGCAGTTTTTCCTTTAAAAACTGAGTTTAAAGCTTTATGTTGCTTTTGCCCAATTATACTATTCTGGATCCCTAAACTGAGAGATATTATTGCTTTGTCAGTTTATGTTCTTGTTAGCAATTGCACTCATCTGATAGTCTTAACTCCTGTCTTTTTAGGCCTTTTAATGCCTCAGAACGTAAAGCAAGCTCCTATGCTGTTGTAGACTGCGATCAAGCAAGAAAGGAAGTTAGTGTCCGCACTGGAGGAGTGACAGATAAAACATCAAGAAAGACTTACACTTTTGATATGGTAACTGCTTGGGGGACTTCTAGAAACAAGCTAGTGCATTTCTCCTGTATGATCTGATTACTGTATACTGTGATGTTGTACACTAATGTATGGATAAATGGGATGTGTTTTCTTTGCCTCAACAGGTTTTTGGAGCTCAGGCAAAGCAGATTGATGTATACCGGAGTGTTGTTTGTCCCATTTTGGATGAAGTTATTATGGGCTACAACTGCACAGTCTTTGCGTAAGTAAGCCAATTACTATTATTATTATTAGGAAATTTTACTGGAATTGTAGTTTCTTGTTTACATTTCAGGTTTTTTTATTTTCACAGTTATGGACAAACTGGCACCGGTAAGACCTTCACAATGGAAGGGGAGCGGTCACCCAATGAGGCATATACTTGGGAAGAGGTATCTTTTCACTCCTGAAATTTCTCTTCTCTGTGCTGTTGTTCAAAGTCAGAAATTGCAGAAAGCTAAAGAAAACCTAAAGTTGATGCCTTTCAAATCCAGAAGCTGGCTTTCCTTAAACTTTTGTAAATTAAAAAATGTTCATTTAAATGAAAATCAAGATTTATACATCCTTAATGCATGCATACATTTCTTGGTGATCTTTATATGGAAGATGATCTTTGTCCAAGGTAGTCTTGCTTATGTCAAATCAGAATATCTGAAATTCCCCTCCCCATCTGCAAATCTTTAATACTTCACTTTAATCTATAGGATCCACTAGCAGGTATAATACCTCGTACATTGCATCAAATATTTGAAAAGCTCACAGAGAACGGTACTGAATTTTCAGTGAAAGTCTCTCTTTTGGAAATATATAATGAGGAGCTTTTTGATCTTCTGAATCCAACTCCAGATGTTGGAGAGAGACTGCAGATGTTTGATGACCCTCGAAACAAAGTAAGTGCTGTCTTCCAAAATTCATGTCAAAGGTTTCACGGTTGTTGAGAGATGTATAATAAGCATGCTTTATTTTCTGACAGAGAGGTGTAATTATTAAAGGCTTGGAAGAAGTAACTGTACACAACAAAAATGAAGTCTACCAAATTCTAGAAAGGGGTGCAGCAAAAAGAACTACTGCAGCTACTTACATGAATGCATATTCCAGGTACAAATTTTCCCCATTTCAGAAACTTTTTGTTCCTGTTTTATTAAAACAGGGTCTTCTAAAGAAGTAAGAAATGTTGGAGCTAGTGCAAACTTTTATGATTTTGAGTTTGGGTATTGCAGTTCTGATTGCCAAATGTGGGTTAGAAAGTCATAGTTAGAAATTCTTCCTTGCCACATTCTATGGTGTTTATTTTAATAGGTGTATGAAGGAGTATTATAAAATCTGAATGCTTCTCATGTTAAGAATGGGCAAGCTGTTTCTCTCTGCATGATTTTTTATGTAAGCTTCCCCTCTTGTTTTGAGTTAGCAGTAGGTATTGTACGTCTTACCTGTTATGGGTGGTTGGGTTTTTTGCCAATTTTGTTTACTAAATGAAAGCTAGGTCTCAATTTTCCCTGTCTGCACCAGCAGTAGAAAAAAAACATTAGAATTTGTTACTGCAGTTAGAATTTCAAAATACTTCTAACATCTGTTTTTTACAGGTCAATGCAAGACCCTTTTTTCAAACCCCAGCTTCTGAACACTTACTGGATTGCAGAAGTTGGGGATAAGGCTGAGGCTACTTATGATTGCAGCTTGTAGTCAGAATGTAGTTTATTCCTGATTTCTCATTCTTGAATTGCAGATGTGATCTCTGTCACTGTGAACAAGTAGTGATCCAGTGTTGCAACAAGTAGGGAACACCTTGCCCATGTCAAATTTTAAATTAAAGATATACTGAGCACATCTGTCTACTGGTGCAAGGCATTGGGTATTTGGCTACTGAAGATTAGAATACAGAAGTAATTTCATCTGAAATTCCAGGGCATTTAGAGAATGTATTCTGTCTGTACTGTTGCTTTATGCCTGGTGAAACTGATGTAATTTGACATTTATCACTTTCTATATCTGTTAACTTCCTATTGTAAAAACTTATTAAAGGAATTAAGCTAAAATAATCTTGAACTGCACTGCTGTTTTGAATGAAAATTGAATTGAACTTCTAGATTTTTAATACTGGATTCAGCTAATGACTAATTTTCTTAGCTTGAATAAAGAAAATTAAAATGCTTCCTCTCACATTCTTAAAAACTGTTCTTAGTGTATTCACTAAAAGATCTACAAGTCAGCTTTCTTGAACAGTCTGAATTGAGAACACACAAATGTAAACAAAACCAAGGAATTTCTTTTTGCTTGAAATAAGATAAAATTTACTGGGAATGAATGAGGTGAACATTGTTCAGTTGCTTCATCAGTGGTTTTAAGTGCTGTATTCATATGTATACACACAAATATGTGCTAGAGTCACTTTGTGTCTTGAAAAATGTATATGTCCCAATTTACGGGCCAGATGTCTTCCCTCAGAAGACCCTAACTTGCAGCAGTATTGTGTAGCAAGCAGTTGGTTTGGAATTAATGGGATGTCTAAAACTGAATTCTTTTATAGCCGTTCCCACTCTGTGTTTTC